GCATTTAATTTGATTGAGCTGCAGGTTAGCCAACTCGAGATGTATGTGTGTTTAAGCTGCTACACAAACAAGATGAAAAAGAAAAAAAATACAGACATTTTTGTAGCAGTTGCCCTTTGTTTTTGGCATTAAAAGCAAATTTACAAATTAGTGTGAAATTAATGCGAAAAGTACACAAACAATAAGAACAGCTCAAACAATAGCAATAAAGCAATTTGGGCAACAAAAATAACAGTAAGCAAATCACTGAAAATAAAAGCTGCGAATATTTGAATATCAGCTATAAATATAGACGACTTTAAAGTACACTGCTAAAAATGTTTAAATAAATAAATACTGGAAAAATTTCAATTTTCTTTATTAATAGTTATCGGTTTCATCATAGTCAACTGAACGTTCCCAAATACATTTGCGCCGAAATGAAAAAACAACGACCAAACAGTAAAGGCTGAACACTATAAATAAATATAAATATATATGTATATATATATATATATATATATATATATATATATATATACATACAAATACCAGGCATGCAAGCTTAACGCATAGGTACAAGTCGAACAGCTCAAAAGGATCAGAATCGTGTGTATGAACGTCGTGAAATTGTGCACAACATTGGTTACCAAATAGGCCAGCAGCCAACCAGGTGATTTCTGTATGAATTTAAAAAAGTTAAGAATACAAAAAAGAGCTGATATTTTTGGGCTTACCAAATATATGCCCATTAGCAGCGAAACTGTGCCTATAATATCACCCATAGATGCTATGCGAAGCACTAACCAAAACGAATTTTCTTTGGACCCTGTCAAACGGGGTGGGTGGGAAGAGGTGGGAAAGGGCTGGTTAAGTAGATGGAAAATATATAAATATAGTTAGGCTTACATGTACCCATGCAGATGCCACCGACAGAAAGGAGGAACTCAAAGAAGTAAATGATCAGACAGCCCAGACGCAGATCGATGCAGCAGCAGCAACATTTCTTTAATTTGAAAATGCTACACATTCGAGTGTTTTAGTTGTGTGATGATGCAAAAGTCATAGCCAAGCTATGAGGCCCTGATCTAGGCTAAGGTATTTGTAAACAACACACACACACACACACACCATCTAGTTGTATACCCACAGTACATGGAATTTCCAGCAAGGTCAAAGTCAGCTGCTCGGAACCAAAACCAAACAAAAGCCTTGTATACAGTATGTAGTATGTAGTATGTAGTATAGTATGTGTTGTGTTATATGTTTAATATTCTAATTTAGCCTTTGTTCTGTGAGACACGGGGAGCACAACTTCAACTTTGACGACGAGACAAAGTTGGTTGGTTGGTTTGGTTGCCGTCTATAAATTACAGCCCGCTCAGCTTAATTTCGCGTTTTTTTTTTTTTTTTTGTTGCGGGTGTTTGGCATTTAAATAGAGTATATATATTTGTATATATATATATGCATATGCTTCTACCCACTTACCTTTGCGATATTCAGACGAATAAAATAACCATTCAAACAGCTTTTAATTAACAGTCAGCACTCAGCACTCAGCACTCGGCAATCAGCAAACGCACGTGTTCCATACTCCCCCCCAAAAAAAGATACAGAAATAATAATCTGAACAGTCATTAAAATTCATTAGCCATATGCACGTCGTCGTTTGCTTTTATTAATAAACACTTAAAAACACAATATAAACTCAACGCATATTTTTATTGATGTATCTTTGAGTTGTTGGCCAATTACCAGCCGCCAGCTGCATTGCCAAAAATCAGCACAATTCCAATTGGCCAAGCAACAAAAGGTCAACGTGTTTTTGAGCTGTGTTACAATTTCACACGCCTCTGCAAGTGGGCGTGGCTCCTAGCTAACCCAGCCACAAAAAGGGCAATTTTGCCCATTGCTTATGCAGATCAGCTCAATTTAAATGTCGCTCAGAAACATTTACAAAATATATACAACACTTTGAATAAGCAAAGAAAAAATAATATTCTTTTGACTGGTAACAAATTTTCATAACTCAAGTTACAATGCTCTAGTCGAGAGAGCTCGACTAGGAGATACCTTTAATCCAGCAGTTAAATAGGGTTGCTGATCTTAGCTCAACATGTTAAAATTTTATCCAAAAAATAAAATAAGACACAATGAAGGAGATAGTAGGTTAAGTAGGTTATTGATATAATAATAATATAATAATATTTATAGGTTATAGAGAGGATGCTTCCATCTGCCTGCTACACTACTTTTCCACAACTGTCTTATACACCTTTTCCCATTTTAAATGGGTTCATCGTATAAAAATACTACAGTTTTAATTTTACGAGTTCTGCATTTCATTAAAAAAAATACAAAAATAAATAATATAAATAATATAAATACATTTACAATTACGTATTTCATTATTTTGGGAAATCGATTTATATCGATATTCCTGAACCGGGGATGGTTATCGAAATATTGAAATAAACTTGAGCTGGCTGTAGTATTCGAGTACTCATATTCTGAATTTGAATTTCTCGGTTTCTTTATACAGACATAGCCAAATTGACTCGACTGTCGATGAATATATATCAGCTGTATAAGAATATATATACTAGAAGTAATGCTTTGTTTTTGTTTAAGCTGTAAAATTGTCTGCTGTTTTGCTTCATGACGTAATGGGAGCAAGCCATGTCGTGAACTCGGCCCTGATCGCTTAATTGTGTAATTGTTTATAAATAAATAACAATTCCGTTTCATTTCGCTGATAAGCGATGCATATGACTAACGTTGCTGTGCACCCAACCACCCTCCCCCGCCACACAGCGGGCACAAGGAAAGTCAAACGGGTGGAGCTGGCAGGAGACACGTAGACATTCGGTCTGCGATTCCTCTTTGTATTTCTTTTTTTTAGCACGCCTTTTGTTTACATTATATAATCGCCGCTTAAAACGGAAGGCGTAAACAAAAATAAAATACATATTATTTTAAATATATATATTTAAAAAAAAAAACAAGAAGAAGACAAGAAATTTGGTTATACCCTGTTTAAAGATTTAACATATTTCCTTTAATGATTGTTACTGCTACACAAGTTGCTTAATATTATGTGGACGAATATATATATTTTTTATAGTATTAAATGTTTGTTTATCAGCGCTTGTCTTACTATATGTATATATATTGTTTATATACTGATATCGATTATGAGAATCGTGGCGTTATTTTAATTTGGTATAATATATAGGATATAATATGGAATACGTAGATGCTGAGCAATACAAAACCTGCTGACTAAAAAGAAAAGCACTCGACTTGTTTACTTTTTCTAATATTCATATAGATGACACACACACACACACACATTCATAAATATATATGCATGTTGTGTGTGTGTGTATGTGTGTGTGTATATGCATACATCTACATATAGCGATTATCGTAGGCAGCACTTGAGTTTGAGCTTTTAAAAATAGTCGCTGCTTGTTGGGGAAGTAATTGTTATTGCGCTAATTCGATAAGAGGTGTCTCTACGGTCAAGTGTGTCGCTGTAGAGGTGGGGTGGCTTGGGGGCATAATGAAGGTTGTGCTCTCTCTCTGTGCTTAGCTTAGTTGGCCAGTCACTTGAACGATAATACACAAAATTGTTGTAAAAATAAAGAAACAACAACAGCAGATAATTTGTAATCTATTCAATGTCAAGGTTGTCAGCCATTCAGCTGAGCCATTCTCAACAAGAAATTCATTTGTTTTGCTGTTGTCGTTTTGTTTCTTTTATTTTTAAATACATTCACTCTCCCTTTGTTTATTTCTTTTATTTACTCTTTTTTTTGTGAGTTATTTTGCACATTTTTGTTGTGGTTTTTTTTTTGTTGAATGTTGTTGATAACTTTATTTGCTTTAGAATTATACAAAAAAAAAGCAACAAAAAAAAATAATAAAAATAAAATAAATAAATGAAAAACAGCAACAACAATTAAAGTTCTTCAACAACAAAACAAACCCCGAATTGGTTATAAAATGTTTGTTTTTATTTTTATTTGTTTTCAAATTCAATTTGATTTTTATCGCCATTTTGACTCATTTTGTTTGTTTTTGTTGTTGTTTCATTTACAAAGCTTTTTTTTGTTTACTTTTGATTAATTGTTTTTAGATTATTTATTAAATAATATGTAAAATCATTGATTCAAATACTTCAAGTGACATAACTGTGCCGTAAAATTTCCGACAGATATTTTAATTTATTGGCGTTCGATCATTGGCTGTTTGCATCTGTGTTTTTGTGCATGGCGACTAGACTCGCAACATTTTATTGTCACGTAATACACAAGTAAAGCTCTCGATAGTATTCAACTTGAGTTGAGAGTGGGCGTTGGTGCGGGCGTGGTCGTGGTCGTGGATTGTCATCGTTTCTTCAACTACGTGTGCTTTGTGGCAAAAGGAAATCGTTATCTAGCTGAGACGTCAACTTTGTGCTGCTGTTGCAACGCATATGCAATTTCCGTTCGCTGTCAGCAAACTGCCAGAAATATTCGACATGCAATTCTCTCAGCTGCTTAAGGCGAGAATATTGCAAGAAGAGCTGTCATAAAATGTATACAATATCTATATATTTATTTACCCACATCATAAGCATACTTCTGCAATACCCTGTAAATATAAAAATTGTTGAAAGGTGTTGTTTGCTGCTAACGTTATTATTTATCAGCAAATATAGTTTATCAATAAGTCAAACTTAACTGAAATTTATATTAAAATTGGATAGTTAAAACCAAGAAGTTATTTAAGATTTGTACTTAGTTCAAATTATTTAATTTGTACAAACTAAGTTTAGATACCAAAACATAAGCAAATATATTTTATATTAAAATTGGATAACAAGATGTTATTTAAGATTTGAACTTCAAGGATTACATAATACCTCCTAGTCGACAATCGAATAGATCGTTTCGCTAGCTTTTTGTTATGTGTTTCTATATTTTGTCGATTTTTATTTTTCTAAATTGCATTTGCTTATCTTATATATTTACAGCTCCACATCTGGTTGCAATGGCATCTTCTCACGTCGCTTGGATTTCTCATCATTCAATTTGCTGCCAAAGACGCGTTTGAATTCTTATCAAGTAAAGGTGAGTTATTGCCAGAAACAGCAAATACTATTTTATAATCGAAAGAGGCAACTCTGTGAATATATTCATATGCATATATGATTATTGCATATAAATAGAAATAGTTACATTTGCTGGCTATTTTTATTAATCAGCAGTCTCGACTCTAGCTTTAGCTGACTCTAGCCATTTGTACACTCATTCATTTGCCACTCGATTATTGCCACTCTTATGCATTCATTCACAAATGGGCAATTCGCTGGGCTATTGAGTTCTTGGAAAACAACACACACATATTTTTTAATGCAGGTTGGGTAGGAGGGTAGGAGAGTGGCGGGAGGGGAGGGGAGTGGTTGGAGTAAGAGACGAGAAAAAACTGCCTGCCTTGGCAAACTAGCAATTGGATACGCTTCTTGGGACAGGGCATGGATATGGTTGTTAAAAAAAAGGAACGCGGGGGGACAACGGAGTGTTTGTTATTGTGGCATTGTTTGCATAGCGCAAAGTTCAGATCAGTTCCAGATGTTGTTCGGGCGGCCAGCAAGTAAAATGACGAAATTCCTAGGAAAAGCACTGCAAGAAAATTGTTGGCGAAGCAAAGTTTCCATATTGTTTTTTTTATTCACTCTTATTATTATTTTTTGTTTTTAGGTGTCACATGAATGCATATGAGATATATCATTGTGTTGTGGGAAGCATATACAGATATCAATTTAGAGATAACGAACTAAGTGTGGAGTATTTCATAAAACTCAACTGCAGAATTGAAGATTACATGTTTTAGTTATTGCTTTTTGGAATTGATTTCACTGGAAAGGCTCATCAAATTAATCACTTTATTAGAATAGCATTTAGGTAAAATTAAATAGTGAAAAACAGTTATTGAGAATCGACTTTATCAGCACCTTGGAACTAATTTTAAGAACTACAAATGTTGTCCTACGTAGCTTATCTTGTTAAAATTGAATAATAAACAGTAATTAGTGAGAATGGACTTTATCAGTACCTTAGCTTTGATATTGTTATAAAATGCTTTAGGACAAAGCAAGAGTATTTCAGCTTCATTGTGTTCGCATTACTTGTTGCCGACTCTCTCATGTGGCAGCTGTATTAGATTTCTGTTTACACTTTGTATAATGTCAATGTTGGCATATTTTTTGTTATATTCTGCTGTTCTCTCGCCGTAAAGCTGCCAATTCAGCAGGCGGCAGTTTTCATCTGCACATTGGTTTGATATCATCATTATTATAACTTATAATTATAATTATTGTTGTGGTTGATATGGGTCTGTGAATATTTAAACGGATATTGAACTATTGAGAAGACCGCACAAGTTGCCTCATGTGGCAATTAGCTTGCGTGTCGATCGCAAATGCTCGTTTTTCAAGCCAAGCTCATGAAATCATAAAGGGGCCAAGACAGCTGCTCATTTATGCACATAGAAATTGCATAAAGAGCTTCAAGTTTTCTTTGAATATTTCATGGCATAGGCGAGCAGCAGACTGTGCGGCGGCGGCATTATCCTCGCAGGACACACAACAACAGCAACATGGCCAATAACAGCAATTGCATTGTAGATAATGTCAAAATGAGGATGAGGGGACTGCATAACAATAGCAAAATATTTGTGGCTACCTGTCGCTTTGTATCTGCATCTGTATCTTTATCTATCTATATACATATATCTGTATCTTTAGCTGTGCTTTGTGAATCCCTTGGCCAACTTATTTTCTGTCTGCACGCAGCTGCTCATCTCTGCTCTGCTCGGTTGCCTTTTGTCTGGAGCGTTTGCCTTCAAAAAAAAAAAAAAACTTTACATTTCAATTTTTTGCTCTCCCTCTCCCTCTCTCTCTTTCTCTTTCTGTTACTGTTACTGTCTGTTGTCTTTTTCGGTTTTGGCAGTCTGCCGCTTGGCATGCATTTCGAATTGCATTTTGTATTGAATTTATAAATATTTAATGCCATTCAAAATGGCATGCAATCGCCCAGACCAAACCGAAACCAAAAACTGAATTCATACCCGCAGAATCCAAAGTGTTGGCAAATTAAATTTGTATAAACCTGCCATGACTAACTGTCTAGGATTTGCCCTTCTTGGTAACTAAAATCGGAATACCAAGGAAAGTTTGTCGTAAAGCGTCGCTTCATGTTAGTTTCTTGCCGCTGATGCTGCAATTTCAAGGGCTTTAAAAGTTTCTCTTCAAGTCGCCGGCAGACAAGCCAAAGTTTCTTTTTTTTTTTTTTTTAGCACCGAAGTTGTCTCAAAATAAGTTTGCACCCAACTTGAGCAGTTTGGGGTTGGGGGTGGATGCGAATTCCCATTCAAGTTTTGTAAAAACTTTTGAAAATAGAAAAGAAAACGCACTCTTAGCTTTTGGCAATTGCACTGATTGCAATGTCGGGCATAGTTAATAAAAACAAGATCTCGATTGCATATCCTTATAGCCGTTACGCATTGTTTGCCCAAAGGATTAACCATAATCAAACCGGTCTGTCTGCTGTGCGCCCTTCTCATAATAATTAACACAAGTCAACTTGTTAATCATTCAGCAATTGGCGACTTGATTCCCAAAAGGGTTGTTCGCTCTTAAGCCGCCTCGCTGATTTTTTAATCAGCGCATATCATTGCCTGCCCCCGGGTGTCTCCCCTTATTACGACGACCCGTCAGCGATGCCATCAGCTGTCAACATTCTGTTCATTTCTTTTGGTGGGATTTGTAACTCAATGAAAAGAGTTGCCGTAGCCAAGTCATCTCACTTTAAAGCAGCTATAATTATAATTATAAAAATAAAAAAAAAACCCTGGCAATTGCCCACAGGACTTAATGAAGTTATATACATATATATCTGATTTTCGGGTGGTTACAGCGTGTTTTCGCTGCGACTTAAGTCAACTTGTTTAATCATTTATTACGCTTCACATTTTGATGGCACATCTGCTAATTGTTGTCCGACTGCAAAACAATATTATTTTGCTCCCCTTCATTATTTATTTTTGTGAGGAGTTCTCTGTATAATGAGTAATGGATTATATTGGATTAGTAACTTGTTTATGAAAATGGTGAAGAAAAAGAATATTAAATAGGAAAATAAATAAAAAAAAAATGCTATAAATGAAACTATAATTCTATATTACATTTATTTTACATTTTGCTTTTTTTTCTCTCAAATTAACTGCGAGTATTTTATGTGCGAGCAATTCCCAATTGGATGCTTAGTGTGCCAATCAATCTTTGTCTTTGCATTGCTCACAAAAAAAATAAAAAAAGAATGGAAGAAACATATACAAAAAGAAAGAGAAAAAATGCGAACTTTAAACAAGAAAAGATGCTTTTATAAATGATTGATGAGCACGTTCATCTGGCTATTATGGCGGCACATATGTCGTGAATTGGAGCTGAAATTTGGAATGCATATGGATAAATACGTATTCCAAATATTTGCACAGATATTTCTTTTTTTCTTTTCGTTTTCTTTTCAAATTTATAAACATATTGGTATATGTTTTTTGGTTTTCTTCTTTGACTATTTAAAAAAGTTTTTGAAAAGCTTTTCGTGCCCACTTGCCAGACAACGTTCAGCCAGCCACATGTAATGGCTACACTCTCCAGAGCATTTCCGTTTCAAGTTGCTGACGGCTTCCGACTGTGCGCATTTTCCGGTAAAAAACAATGCTCAACGGGAGACTACAAATTCGAAAAAGTTTGACACTCACACACAGTGCTGCAGTGGTGTCCAAAAATATTTTGCACGTTTAGTTGACACTCTTGGAAGTGGTGACACTTTGTAGATTGATGGCTGCATTCATTTATTCTTTCTTTGCTTTTTTGTATTCGTTTTTTTTTTTTTTTCGTAGTTGCCCAAAATGTCAGCGACAGTAAAAATGCACTGTTGTATAGGCGTTGTTGCTGTGTGGCAGCATGAAATGCGTCTCGTAGGCGCCAGTCCGAGAATAATTTATGCAATTGCAAGTCTCCAAAAGGCAACGAAAAATTGCCCAACCAAAATATTTATGCATGCTGCAGAGTTGAGTGTGCGTGCGTGTGTATATATATATATTTACATATAGATATGAGTGTGTGAGTATGCATTAGATTCAGCCATGTTATAGTTTATGGCCCAAATCACTCATCGCAGCCTTAGACTGACATTTTGGCTGCGCTTTGCCGATTTAAATTTTTATGTGCTTGCAACGGGCATTTAAATTGTGTGACTGAGAATGTGTAAAGTTTGCATATTATTATTTATATATTTAATGTGTACAAATATCAATCGACTCAGAAAATATCAGTTAATAAAAAAAATATAAAGTTAACTATTAACAACATAATAACAATGTTTAAGATTGGCCCAAGATTTGTTGGAAAATCATCAACCATAAAGCATTTTTGTGAAAATGTTTTATACAAGACAAGACACCTAAAGTTGTGATCTAAATGAAAGAAATAGAAAACGTTGAATTGTTAACAGGATAAAGCCAATTGTAATCGTAGAAGAGTACTCGAAAAGGCACAGAATAATTATTCGTACAACTTTTAAGAGAAAGTGGAGAGAAGTAAAACGCAAGAAATAAGAATTTCTTTTGTTTTTATGTGCCTAAACAATACAAATATATTATCTGACAACTGACAGAGGTTGCTTTTTAGGGTATTTGGTCTGCTGTGCACCGAAAAGCACAGCTCCTACTAGTTTTTTTTGTAGAATCTGTTGTAAATTTGCAGTTTATTAAAGTGCTACAGCTTATGCAAAAGTTCTGCGCTTGCCACGCCCACACAGGTAAATGGCTGTGAGCCATGTTTGCCACGTTTTGAGTGCTGACTGCTGAGTGTTGAGTGGCGTCTGGAGTCTGGCGAGTAGATGTCGGAGTTTGTTGGTAGCTTTGTCAGGTGGAAGTGATGGGCGACGCCGCTGCTCGACTGCCTTTAACATGACATTTATTGTAACTGTCGTTATGTAGCCCGCCGCAATATTGTAACACGTTAATGTTGCTGTTGTTGCAGTTGTTGCTGTCCTTGTTGTTG